AACTCGTATTGGGTAATGAAAAACAAAACAGCAGCTGGTGAATTCTTCCGTCATTAGTAACTAAACTGCAGAATCTGCCATGGGATCCGCACCAAAATAAATAAATAAGTAAAAGACATTGGGACGGGAATTTCTGATCCATGGAAACACGGCCTGAGCCTTGCACTCGGTTCCAATGTTTGGCGAGTGCCTTTCCAGGTCCCGTGGAACCCTGTTAGTGCAGGACAGAAATGGCTGCGCAGGTAGAGACTCCCTTGGGACCACTGGGTGTCTGCTTTCTACACCTGCAGCATGTGGACTGCCACAACGCACCAGTTTTATAAAACAGATCATGCATCAAATGAGTTTCGAAGTCCAGACCCACGCTCTCCTATATACCCTCCCTGCCCTAATGGATACAGATCTCTAGTGAAGCGACTCACACAAGACATTTTCCTGTTGGGAGTCTGTTTTGATGAAATGAACAGGGCTACATCCTTCATCAGGTAGGTAGGTCTGTGTGTGTGCGCACACATGTGTATGAATGTATGCATGCATGTTGTATAGGAATAACTGTTAGCATCAAATGCAAAGAGGGAGCTATAGACCGGAGAAATGATGCAAACGTCCTGATACATGTTGAAGAGTTGTGCAGGTCCTACAACCTTGGTGGGCTCTGGGACAAAACAGCTAACCTTAGTGTTTCCTTGCGGGCATGCTGTGAAGAGGCCAGCACGCCCTTCCCATGTGTATTTTATGTAGACATGTGTTCTGGTAAGATCCGCCAAGAAAAACTGTGGGGTGGGTTCCTGCTGCAAAATATGAATTAGACATTGTCTAATGTCAGAAGAACTGGTGTGTGTGTGGAACTGGTGTGTGTGTGTGTGTGTGTGTGTGCACATGCGTGTGTATGTATGAGAGACAGGCAGTGTCTCTGTCTCAAAGACACACACACAAAGACAATGAGAGAGTGAGAATAGGAGAGACATTTAATGGGGACAGCTCATGGACACAAGATACTCATGTCCAATCTGGATTTGGAGATGTTCAGAGGTAGCTGAATGTAGTCGGGTAGGAGAGCTCACATGAGGAGAAAAGCTTTAAAAGAAGATAAAGAGTGTGGAGTGCTTGGCTTTATTTCAGAGATGGAAAAGGCTGGTAGCTGGAGATTGTAGTACCTCTAAACACGGTGCTCAGTTAAATGAGCCAAGTATTTACCAGTGATTAGTTTAGAACATTATCTGCATTGTAAACATTTCTTCTCCAAAGGAAAAATGACCATTTGTATTTATTCTTCACCCTTTCATAATTTGGGAGGGGCGGATAACTATCTTATTTTCTTATGGAATAATCCTGGCCAGGGAAGGCTTCTATGAAGGTGCACTGACACACTTAAAGGTGAGCATGAATATCATCATTGGTGCTTCTGATCCAAATGACCTTTAAGGCCAAATAATGACATATTTCAGTAAGGCTAACTCTACAGGGAGAGCTGCCTGTCCTAGGTAAGTCCATAGGTGCACGCTCATGCATGCACACACACACACACACACACACACACACAAAGACTGGCTCTAAAAAAGATGGCTGATGGCCTGGGCCTGATTTAGATAATGATTTCAAAACCAGTAGTGCATTTCCATTTTACTACCGAGACATTCAAGGGATCCATTATGAAAGCCACAGTTTCCATTTATTAGCTTAAAATTCCTTTGAATTCTTGTTTTTTGCCAATGTTGTGAACATATATATGTGCATACATACATATGAAATAAATACTGTTTCTGTATACAACTTGCCTAGGCTCAAACATTTTCCTGTTTTAACTTATTTTTTTAATGTGATCTTATTTAAAATTTTATTTTTTTCCTCTTGGGGAACAACCAAGACACTTCAGCTAATTCACTTTAGTTCATTTAATTTCCATCTTCCCTAGTCCCAAGTCCTTGCAGAGTCCATAGAATAGTGAAATTGTGGGGTGGGTCCCAAGAAAGGAGTCCAGTTAGCCAGTTAATCCATCCCGACAGCACCCGGAGTGGCCCGGGGCTCGGGTGGAGGTGCCAGGGCCCAGGGCCCAGGCACCTGAAGCCAGATTCCCCACCAAGTCCCCCATCCTGTCCTCAGGCCCGGACTCACGGCAGAAAACAGCCTCCTGCAGCTTGCCTTTCCTGTCTCCTGCAAATGCCCTGTCTTTTCTTTGCTCAGAAATGAGCCTCTGACTTGAGAGACTAGAGGTTCACCTTAGGCTTCCTCCCAGAAGAACGCAGCTCTTGGAGCACACACGCACCCGGCTGCCCTCCCTCCCCCACCGCCCTCCTTCCGAACCTACTCGTGGTTTCACGCGCGGCGTCGAGGGGATCTGCAAAGATCACCCGTGTCTTTTCTTTTAGGGTCTCAAATGGTGCGTGCCTTCGATGCTTGACATGAACGGAACAAAGCTGACCCTAAGGCCCAAGCTCCAAATCGGGTGTTAGGGTTGGGCAGCGGGGGGAGGGGGGACACTCGGCTGGCGCCAGCCGGCCCCCTCCCGTGGGGCAGCCGGGCGCTGGGAAAAGCCCGAGGTAAGAGGAAAACAAGCCCGGGCGCCCGGTTCCCGGGGCGGGAAGATGGAGCCTCACGTCCACCGCCTGCCAGGCTTCTGGTCACCCAGAAATTCACCACTGTGAAATGTCTCCCCCTCTTCCTCACGGCCTTAGAAAATTAAAATTAAAAAAATCACTAGCGAACCAATCAAACGGCAGCAGTGTGAAGATTTAGGCTGACTCCGGTAGCACAGGTACAGCGGGCGGCATTTTATTTTCTCTAAGATGGAAACAGGAGGCACTCATTAATTCCAGAGACCAAATGGTCTCCGCGAACATGTTGCCATTGACGTTACTGAAGTCCTCCAGAAGAGGGGGGAGGGGAGGGGAGAGAGAGGAGGGATGGAAGGGGGGGGCTGGGTAGTTAAGTGCTGGCCAGGAAGGCTCGGGAAGGACCCCGCGGGTTTTGCTGGTCGCAGGACTTCCCTGAGAAGCTGGGGTGGGGGGTGGGGGGGCAGATCCTCAGAACCACTCTGAAGTCGCCAGCCCCGAGCTGTGCGCGGGGAAGACGGCGAGGGCCAAGGCGTCCCGAAGGACTCGGTGGCCGTAGCGTTCTCCTCCCTCGCGCAGGACGGCCCCGCAGGGCTGGAGGGACCGGGAATGCTCCAGGAAAAGTGGGCTTCTGAGCTCCGGGGTGGTGGACGGGCCCGGGGCTGCTGGACCGGCGCAGCCTGCCCGCCGCGGGGCCGTGCGCGCCGGGAGACCGTGCCCACCGGGGAGCCGTGCCCGCCGGGGGTCCGTGCGCACCGAGGGTACGTGCGTGCCTGGAGGCCGTGCGGGCCGCGGAGAGGTGCCCGCCGCCCCCCCCCCCGACCTTTCCACGCGGACCGGAAATGTTCTGACTTGAAAGCCCAGCGCACCTTCTTCTAGCCTTGGCTTCCGTCGCTCAGCTAAGAGAGCCAGCGAGCCACTGGGGGCTCCCTGGCGACCTCCGGATTTCAGGACTGGGCTGCCGGGAGAGCGTGGAGGACGACGGAGAGGAGGGACAAAGAGGAGGACGGCGAAGGAGGAGGAGGGGCGGGCAAGGGAAGGGGAGCCCGGGGTGGGCACAGCGGCGAGCCCCTTCTCCGGTGACGCACGGGGGAGGGGGCCCTGGCTCCGCCTAGGGGTTCCAGGACCCCCACTTCCGAGCCCGCCCGGGGAGTGGCCAGATGAACCCGCCTGCCCTGGCACCAGCCGAACCCCGCAGACCGTTACTCCGGGCTCCGCCTGGGGCGGGGCGCGCGGGGGCGCGGCGCAGACAAACCTGCCCAGCGACGTCTCCAAACTCGACCAGGGAGGGAGCACCGCCACGGAAAGGGGCCAAACAAAGAGGGGGAGAAAGGGGAGAAAAGGGGGCTGAAAAAGGAAGCAGCAAAGGTGGGGGAAGGCGGTGCCGCCCGCCTCTCGGGCTTTAAATTGATTTCTCTGCCTGAGCGAGCGGGAGGAAAGGAGCCGGGAGGCGCCCACGTGCCCGGCGGGCAGCGGCGGCTGTGCTCCAGCGCCACCTTCCGCCGGCCCGGAACGCAGCGGCTCGGCGCGGCGACGCGCGGGCAGCGACCCCGGGGGGAAGCCGCCCGGGAGCAGCTGCAGCGCCCCCCGCGGGGGAGGGGGGTGCGCGGGACCCCGGGGCCGGGCTAGAGCTCCGTCCCGGGCAGGGCGAGCGGGCGGTGGGAGGCGCCGCCTTAGCCGGGCAATCTTTGGCGCCCGGCGGATGGGCCACAAAGGCCTCTGCCCCCGTCGCTGGCTGGACCCCGGGGCTTGTGCCGGCTCGGGGACCGTCTAGCTCGCCCATCCGCCCGGGAGCGCCCGGCCTGGGCGGCAGCGAGGCGCGCGCTCCGGAGCATCCCGGGGAAGAGGCGCAGCTGGGGGCACACGCGGGGTTTTTTCTTCTTTTTTTTAACAACACATTTCTAGACGCGCCTCCCCCGCCCCCCGCCCCCCTCCGCCGCCCGCCCCCCTCCTTGCGAGCCGCCCCTGGGGGTGGGGCGCGGGGGGCGGCGCCTCGGAGTTAATAAAGGGAAGCGGGCGGGGCCGGGCCGCGGCCATTGGCTGGGCGAAGGAGTGACGTCACCCGCACGACACCCTGATAACTAGTTGAGAGAGAGCCCTCAACTTTTTGCAGAAGAGCGCGCGCGCCGGGGAGTGCTCGGGGTCCGGCGCTTGCGGCGGGAGCGGAGAGCCAGAGAGGAGGAGCAGGGGGTCCCGGCCGCCGCCGCCGCCGCCGCCGCCTCTCCGCTCGCGGCCTCAGCCCCGAGCGCGCGCGCGTGCGCGCGCGGCCAGCACCGCCGCTGTGCGCAGCCTGGACCCGGGCGCGGGGGGCGCGGGGGCGCCGCGGCCTCGGGGGGCCGGCCGAGGACTTCGCAGCTTGCCCGGGAAGGTGGAGGGGCGGGAGGGGGAGGGGGAGCCCCGCGCGAGACCGAGCGGCCCGGGTCGGGGAGCCCAGCCCCGCGGCGGATCATGGTGCAGCAGGCGGAGAGCTTGGAAGCGGAGAGCAACCTGCCCCGGGAGGCGCTGGACACGGAAGAGGGCGAATTCATGGCGTGCAGCCCGGTGGCCCTGGACGAGAGCGACCCGGACTGGTGCAAGACAGCGTCCGGCCACATCAAGCGGCCGATGAACGCGTTCATGGTGTGGTCCAAGATCGAGCGCCGGAAGATCATGGAGCAGTCCCCGGACATGCACAACGCCGAGATCTCCAAGAGGCTGGGCAAGCGGTGGAAAATGCTCAAGGACAGCGAGAAGATCCCGTTCATCCGGGAGGCGGAGCGGCTGCGGCTCAAGCACATGGCCGACTACCCCGACTACAAGTACCGGCCCCGGAAAAAGCCCAAGATGGACCCCTCGGCCAAGCCCAGCGCCGGCCAGAGCCCGGAGAAGAGCGCGGCTGGCGGCGGTGGCGGCGGCGCGGGCGCGGGCGGCGCCAAGACCTCCAAGAGCTCCAGCAAGAAGTGCGGGAAGCTCAAGGCGCCCGCGGCCGCCGGCGCCAGGGCCGGGGCGGGCAAGGCGGCGGCGCAGCCCGGGGACTTCGGGGCGGCGGCGGCGGCGGGCGACGAGGGCGCGCTGGGCGGCCTGCGCGCGGGCGGCGGCGGCGGCGCGAGCGGCAAGACGACGGTCAAGTGCGTGTTCCTGGACGAGGACGACGATGAGGACGAGGAGGACGACGAGCTGCAGCTAAGGATCAAGCAGGAGGCGGACGACGAGGACGAGGAGCCGCCGCACGCGCAGCTCCTGCAGCCCGCCGCGGGCCAGGCGGCCCCGCCGCTGCTCAGACGCTACAACGTGGCCAAGGTGCCGGCCAGCCCCACGCTGAGCAGCTCGGCCGAGTCTCCCGAGGGCGCCAGCCTCTACGAGGAGGTGCGGGCGGGCGCGCCCTCGGGCTCCGGGGCCGGCAGCCGCCTCTACTACAGCTTCAAGAACATCACCAAGCAGCACCCGCCGGCGCTGGCGCAGCCCTCTCTGTCGCCCGCGTCCTCGCGCTCCGTCTCCACCTCCTCGGGCGCGGGCGGCGGCGGCGGCGAGGACGCCGACGACCTGATGTTCGACCTGAGCTTGAATTTCTCCCAAAGCGCGCACGGCGCGAGCGAGCAGCCGTTGGGGGCCGGCGCGGCGGCCGCGGCGGCGGCGGCCGGGAACCTGTCCCTGTCGCTGGTCGATAAAGATTTGGATTCGTTCAGCGAGGGCAGCCTGGGCTCCCACTTCGAGTTCCCCGATTACTGCACGCCCGAGCTGAGCGAGATGATCGCGGGGGACTGGCTGGAGGCGAACTTCTCCGACCTGGTGTTCACGTATTGAAGACGGGGAGGGGGGCCCGGGGGCCCCCGCTGGCTCGCTCCTTCTCTCGGCCGCGCGCGGAGAGGAGGCTGGGCTCCTCGGAGGAGGTCGTGGTGGTGGTCAGGAGAATGATGGATGATGATGATGGTGGTGGTAGGGAGAAGGGGAGAGAAGATAGATGCTGATGATATTGATAAGAAATTGAAAATGTTGGTGGAGTGAAGGTGAAATGGGTAGTTTTTAAGCCTTTTCCCCCCTCCTCCCCTGTCCTTTTTTGGTTCCCCCACCCACCCACCCAGCCGCCCTTTAATCGTGTCTCAAGATAGTTGCATACCTAGTCTGGAGTTGTGATTTTTCTCCCCCCCTCCCCATCCCTCAAAATGTGTTTTTGTAATTACTGTTTCTTTTCCTTCCCCCCCCCCCAAATTCGTGGTTGCAACAAAGGCCGAGGGGCCGAGCGGGGGAGGGCGGGCGGAGGACCCGCTCCGCAGGCGCTGTTTGGTCTTTGAAGTCGGGAAGACGCGGCCGAGGACCCTAGGACCCGTTTGGCAGCACAACTGTTACTCTAGGGAGTTGGTGGAGATCTTTGCTTTTTGTTGTTGTTCCTTTAAGAGATCTTAAAAGAACTGGTGATTTAAACACACACACACACAGAGACACACACACAAAAGGGACCATTGCAACTTTGTTTTTGGAGGGAGAAAACTGATGTCTTCTATGCATCCAGTTCTTAACAAAACTGCAGGGAGCTTGAAAAAATGCAGACTGTACAAACGCTTACAAAAGAAAAAAAACAAACTGTGAACTGACTTAAGATCAGAGTTTACTTTTCAGATCAAATTGTTTATGGTTTTACAAATGTGATTTCTACTTGCCAACTTTTTTTTGTAACTTGTTCCCTTATACCTCCTTGACCGAATACCAGGCAGCCTAGACCTCAGAACAAAAGGTATTGAAACATTTTTGATACATAACAGACCTCAGCCTTTTTTAAAAATTAATATATTTTCAGGCGTATTTTTGTACAGTGAAAAGGGAACATTCTTGCTGTGTTTTTTCAGTAACACTTTCACGCACTTCTTCCCTTTTGAGTTTTTTGTTTTGTTTTTTCTATATTTTCTTTTTTTAGCATGCAAGTATGTTGGTACGTTATGTCCTGGTTTTAAAAGGATTAAAATTTTAAAGTAATCCTTGCATCTAAAGGCCTTGTGGTTTAAAACAGAAATCAAACTTTTTTTTGTACAGCTATAGTAGAGATTTGTTCCATATTTGTAGGTAAAGATTTATTGAAAATGGTGTTATAGACCTCAGAGCTGTTCTTAGTTTAAAGATTGTATATGTACTGTACTATAGTAGGACTTTATGTATCTCATATGCTGTGATATGTGGATGGGGCCCCAGATGGAAGGTTTGAAACTGGATTCTCGATTTTTAGCAGAAAAAAAGAAAAAGGCACATAGTTTTAAAAGTTCCTCATTTTGTGCAATATAATCTAAATAAAGTACAGACCATCTGCATATTTAGTAGCAAATGATGGCGAGGCAGACTCAAGGCACTGCCGACATCCCTTTTTATCTTATTTTATTTTTGTGCTGGAAGTCTGTGTACCTTGACCATTTTAATAAATCAGCTGGAACTGATGGAGGTTGGCATCGCCATAGTCTCGGGAGATCAAACGAGATCCTGGTTTCTCCGCGCGTGGGGTGGCGAGGTGCCGCGGGTGGCGGGAGAGAGTCGCAGTGGGGAGAGGGCCGCATTGGCCGACGGCTTTCTCTTTCCTCTTCCGCCAGTTGTGAACGATGCGGAGGGGGGGGGGGAGAGGGTTCTCAGCCGTCCCTTTCCACCCTCCCCACTTCCTTTCTCACCCCCTCCCCTCTCCCCTCTCCCCACTGGCCGGCCTCCCCTCCCCTTAGCACCTACCCGGGAGGGGCGGGCGGGGCCCCGGCCGTGCGTTCCCGGCCTGCCCTCCTTCGGGCCGTGCGTCCTCCGCGCGAGTCCGCGGGCGGATGGTGCGTTGCGTCGGGCGCGGGGCCGCGCGCACCGCAGCTCCCCTTCAGCGGGTGGAGGCGGCGGCTTCGGGTCTTTTGTTGTTTCGCGGCCCGGGTGCGTACAGCGGGGAGCTGGGCAGACCGAGGCCGGCCTCGCCGCCGGCGCGCGCGGGCGCCCGGGAACCCGGGCGGCTGGGCGCGCTGCGAGGTAGGGCCGGGAGCCAGGCGCGTCCCTCGGACGATCTGGAGGCGTGGGGGAGCGGCGGGCCGGCGGGACGGGAAGAAAGCTAGCCCGGGAGGCTGCCTCGGCCGCCCCGGAACCGGCCTCCCGCCTCCGGGGCGGGGGGGTGCCTTGGTGGAGGCCCTGAGCCGATCCGCCGCCCGCGCGCCCGCCGGCCAGCGCCTTCCGCCGCCTTGGTCACCCATGTCTCCGGGGGCTGCGCGGGGAGGAGGCGGCCGGGGCGGATCCGAGCTGGGTGCCTGGCCCCGCGTTCCCCGCGGAACGGATTTACCGATATCTGGCCTGGCGATGCTGCTGAGAGGTGGCCTGAGCAAAAGGAGGCGGAGGCGCGGTGGTGGGGGCTGGGGGGAGTCAGAGGGTCCCGCCCCCGCCTGGCCTCCCCCCTCCCCTACCCCGTCCCCCCTCCCGCCCCCAGCCCCCAGCCGCGCGCGCTCTGCGGGCGCACCGGTTCTCCCGGGGCTCTCCCTTTCCCCGAACCCGATTCTCCGTGTAGAACTGGATTTCTGGCGTTGTTTACCTCCCCCGCCCCCAGGCCGGACTCCTGTGGTCCGCGGTGGGCTTCGGCCCCGCCGCGGTTTACAGTGGCAGCCCAGGCCGGGCGCCGCGCGGCCCTCCTGCCGTTCCACAGCCCAGGGGGACGGGGTCCATTGTTCTTTCTAAGGCTGATTCTGTGTATTTTGATACCCAGAAATCTGCATGTAGTTCGTGTTTTCCTAGACGAACTTGGGCATTCTCTGGGGTGGGGTAGAAGAAACCCCGTACATTTAGCAACATGTAACAATTCGGCCTCAGAATGCACACAGTCCTGGCTTCTTCCTTTCCTTCTTTTTTTCCCCCCTTGAAATAAGCTATGTGACCGAAGCTATGTGGTTCTTGATAGGAAAATAAGAGACAAGTAGCGGGCTGGCGATCAAAATTAAAGACCTGTTAGAACTCAGGACGGGCGCTTGACCGCGCTTTGAACAATATTTAAAGCTGTTTTGGTGAAGTCCTTAGTGAACTTTTTACTGAATGTCTAAAACATAATATAATACACAAGGTATTCTTGCCACTGGGTAGGCTTCCGTAAAACGTTCATTGCTTTCTTAATTCTTTTATTTTTTATTTTTGTCTCTTAAGTAAGTCTTATTTTTAACTGAGCATTGACAGAATATCTTAAAATGGTAAGGCGGGGGTGGGCGTGGGTATTGGGTACCAGACAGCCTCGCCATTGGGTATCCTGCTGGTCGTAGCTAGTTCACAGACTCTGTATGCATTTGGGCAAGATTTCCATCTTGAAGAAATTTAACCAGCATTCTCTTATTAATTCTTTAGGCTGTGGAAATAAATCCCAGCTCCTACATTCTGAGATGCATCCTTTTTATTTAAGAAAAAAAAAATGCTAATAAGAGGCAGTGTACTTAAACTGTGCTTTGCCAATATATAGGGGATGGGTGACTACGTTACTGGGCAAATTATTTGTAGAATAATTATCCTTTAGCTGAGGGGGGGGGACATGGATTGCAACTCTTGGGGCAGAGCTGCTTTTTAATGTTAATCAAGGGGAAGTAATTAAAAATGCATGTAACAGTCTGGACGATTTTGCTGACTTTTGGGGAACTGAATCCACAGTCATCTTGATACTGGGATGGGATAGCAAATGTACATTTGATTTTTCACTTTGGAATTGCAATGAGTTTTAGCCAAGGAACCTGAGAAATCAAGCAAATAAGTTGCTCTATTTGAAAGTAGTCATTCAATATAAATAATGCTATATCACGCTTAGCTTTTTTTATTCTGATATGATTGATGATATGTATATTCTTACTTTTTTCTCCTAATGTATCTTTGTGGACACTTTGGAGAGAGGTTTTCTTGGACTCTCCCATTTCTACAGTCTTTATATACTCTTTTACTGCGAGGTCCTCTGCTTTTAACAGATATCTGAGGCAACTATATTTGTGCTTTTTTCTTACGTAAGAAGGCCAGCAAAAAAAAAAAATAGTTTACTGAGTTGTCACTTTTATCAGTATATAAGCGACTTTCTTTATTACAGTTTCAGGGAAGATTTTTTCAGGATATTTCTCAGTTATTCTAAGGGCCAAATTTTATAAAATTTCCATTAGGAATGTCAGTTTTCAAGTACCCTTTGTATAGCCTACGGCCTGTGTGGATAACAATAATGAGCCTTACGTGTCCTAACAGGAATCTACAAGTTCCCAAAGTAACTGTCTCCATAGAACGACTCTTGACATGCTTTTCTGAGATTCGGCTTATTTTAATTATTGATTCTTTCTCACTGTCCATTCTGTGTCATTTCTTCCACCACATCTTCTTTGATTTGATGATCTGAGAAATTCTGTGCTTTGATAACAACTCAGGTTTTCATTTAGGGTTTTCAGTTTATTATTATTATTATCATTTTCTTCTCATGTGGAACAATAAAGGTGAAACACAAGTTTTGAAGCCGAGCTTGCTTCTGTTTTCCTTACTGCTCACTTTTTCTTTTTCTTTTTTTAAACTTTTTCTGGACTTCTAAGTTGCATTTTTAAAATCTTTTCTGCATCGTATTTTTTTAACACTACCTATATTCATCAGCTGCCTAATTAGTTTATCTATTCCTTGTGGATGCAGTGAGTTTATAAGAGAATTTCACAAACAAGTAGTTTTTTAGTGAACTTAAACAGAATTTTAAAGGAGACCTATTTTTATACTCAAGAAAAGCACAAATGTGCAGAAAGTATAAAATGGCTTACAAAGGGAAACATACCTTCATAATGTTCCATGTATAAAAGTAATAATTTTATTGGGTA